CTCCACTTCCTCATGCTCTCTTTCTTCCATAGGGAATAGGAGAGATGATAAATGATGACACTTCCACAGTTACCACTACACGGAATGTGCAAATCTCAGTCCTAAGAGAACAAGGAAATCTACTACTGAACGCACCTCAACTTTTACAGCACAGTCAAACCTAAGAATTTAAAGCCTTTTGTGAACAAAGAGGCCAGGCACTGCTCATAATCATGTCAGGAGTCTTGTACTTCTGGGAGCACTAAACTGTGATTAAAATCCAGTTGGATTAAACTTTGGTGGCTGAGAGGGCAGTGGAAACAAAATTAATTCCTAGTTTCAAACCAGAACATGTCTAAGCAGTCATTCTCCTACCTCTCGTTGCTGCTGGTTCAAATTATGTGAATTTCTTTGGCAGAGAGCAATTGTCTCTACCATGGTATCTTCCACAATCTTCAGTGAGAGATCCTCTTTGGCATCTAGATTCAGAGAAAGGGCAAACAACATCTCTTAAGGATAGATTTCTGATTGTCTCAGAGCTTCTGTGAAAAATTAAACTTTTTAAATTTGCAAATCTTGAGTTCTTTATTATAAAATTATCCATAAGATCAAAATTGAATAGATTAAAAAGTCGATGATTCTACACAGTAGGAGTTTCCCATATAAATGTTTGGTACTCAGGATACACATAAAGCACTTGGTACTCAGCATTTTAATATGCTTTTGCTATGACAAATCCCCAATTATCTGTCTGTGGATTAGCTGGTAGAGAGACTATCTACCCTTCACCTTTTGGGATCTAGCAGCTCTTCTTTCACCAATTTCTTAGATGTAGGTATCCCCCACGGTGTGATCTGAGGTCCTTTTCAGTTTCTAACGATCTCAGCCATTTTGTGGTTTCACGCTCATGTCCACGCTAACTAACTTTAACAGATACACCTTCTGCCCTTAGTCCTTTCAGAGCCTGCAGGTGGCATTTTCTACAGGCATCTATCTCCACAGGGAAGTTCTGCAAAGACCAGGAATTTTATATGCGCAAAACCCAACACTTTTTCCCTCCTCATTTCAAACTTGCCTCACCTTCCACATTTCCTATTAAGTTAATGGAACTATTAGCTTTAGTCAAGCAGTTTATAAAGTTTCATCATTCTTGATGCTTCCCTCTCCTGCACCTGCACGTTATACACATTGCCGAATGTTGATAAATTTTACTTTTACCACAGGCCTACTACTTGTACCTTGGTGAAGCTATGCATCTGCACTACTGCAGGTGCCTCTTAATAAAATGTTGGCTTCCTATTTTGCCTCTCATTAGAGTTTTGCGTTTTGTTGTTTTTTGGTTTTTTTTTGGTCACTAGCATTTTCTGAGACACAAGTCCAAAAATTATTCCGCTCCCCAAAATCCATCAAAGATTTCTAATTTTAATAATAAAGTGTAAGTCCACCTCTGACCCTAAGTAGATGTTTTGACTCATTTTCTCACTCTGCCTGTTTGTGTCTCCATAATAGTTTTTACTCCCAGAGATTACGGGCCAGGCACTGTCATGGTCATTTTCCCCTTAGCCGTTTCTGTGTTTCGCCCTTTCATCCTTCCCATTTTACTTAAAAGGCCATGTCTTCCACAAAGCTGGCTCTGATTTGTTGGTTACAAATCATTTCCTAATTTTCCACTCTCCTTGTGCCTCTTTTATAACAATCCATTGTTGATATATCTGTCTCCTTCACTACATTGCTATTCTTTGGTGGGGGTTTTTATCATCTATGTGTAAATCCACAGGAACTATCACAGTGCCTTGTAATTAACAGATACTCCAAAACTCTTAAGCAGAGTATCAAAATTGAATTGGAAAGTAGATGTCAGATATGAGACTGAGTGGGGCATATATTTTTGTTGGAATTCAAAGAACTGGCTTCTCTAGGCATATCATCTGCAAACAATTGTCCTGATTTTGGGGAAAGATTCCTGATTTTCTCTCCATTTCTATATGTTTGCAAAATTATTGCTGTTGTAGCACTGAATTTAAAAATACAAGTATCATATGTCAACAAATTCAACACTACTGAATTAATTCAACATATACTAACAGGACAAAAATAGCAACTGGACTACCAAGACAGAAAAGTCAATCAAGTATTTAGTGATTCCAGAACTACTTAGTGTAGTACCAGATGCTCAAGATACAACAGAGACCCTACTGTACAGGAACTAAGTATAAAAATAATACAGATAAACAAGTACTCTTCAGAAAAATATGGGAATGTGGAAGAGCTGCCTCCTCAAAGTAGAGTTGACCATGATAATGGGAATGGAGTAAAGCTTGTGGGAGAAAAGCCTGCGGGACCTTCATTTGCTTATGGGGCACAACTCAAAATGAAGAGAGACAGCTGTAAACATACACTGAAAATCAGAACATGGAATGTACGAAGTATGAATCTGGGAAAATTGGAAGTTGTCAAAAATGAAATGTAACGCATAAACATTGATACCTTAGGCATTAGTGAACTGAAATGGACTGGTCTTGGCCATTTTGAATCTGACAACCACATAGTTTACTATGCCAGGAATAACAAATTGAAGAAGAATTGTGTTGCATTCATTGTCTAAAAGAACATATCCAGATCAGTCATGAGCTACAACCCTGCCTGTGATAGGATAATATCCATGCACCTCCAGGGAAGCCCAGTTAATACCACTATTATTGAAATTTATGTAACAACCACTTCTTCAATCTGAAATTGATCAAACATGCAATCAAGATGTATTGATCATTACTGGTGATTAGAATGCAAAGGTTGGGGGCAAAGAGGAAGGATCAGTAGTTGGAAAATATGGCCCTGGTGTTAGAAATGATGCTGGAGAATGCACGACAGAATTCTGCAAAACGAATGATTTGTTCATTTCAAATACCTTCTTTAGACATGACGACACACTTGGACCTCACCAGGTGCAATACATAGAAATCAAGTTGACTACATCTGCAGAAAGAGACTATGGAAAAGCTCCATATCATCAGTCAAAACAAGGCCATGGGCGGACTGTGGAACAGACTACCAATTACGCATATGCAAATTCAAATGAAGCTGAAGATAATGAAAACAAGTCCGTGAGAGGTAAAATATGACCTTGAATATATTCCCCCTGAATTTAGAGATCATCTGAAGAACAGATTTGATGCATTAAACACTAAAGACCAAAGACCAGAAGAGTTGTGGGATGGCATCAACAACAGCATACGTGAAGAAAGC